CCCCCCTCCGCGCCCGTCTCGCCCGGCCCCGGCCCTCCGTCGCGCGCCCCGCGTGCTGCGTCAGAAGCCGCGCGGCCCTCAGGGTTCAGTTTCACGGGTCGCCGGAAGCTTACAATTGTTTCGTGGGCGAAGGTTTGAACCCGCTGCTGAAAGATATTTCTAAATTCTGCCACCGACGCACTTTCGGTTTCAGGTGCTTTACCCTCTTAGAGCTTCAAGGTAGACTGGCGCTCTCACGTTGGATATCGGCTCCCGCATCATGGCTTCCGCTCGTGTCTGGTTGGAAGCGACAGTTCTCATCTTGCGCGCTACTGCGTGTTCGGCAGGATCGATTGTCGCTTCTCCTGAGAACGTCGATGCTCGGCGCTGGGCCACAGTGGCATCCAGAGCTATGATTGCGAACGGGGTGCCAGGGCAAGTCAATGAGCCCGAAGACACGACTCGCATGCTATCCGCAACAGCATCCGAATTATGGGGCGTCGTTCCTGGGATCAATCGCGCTACGATTTTCTTCGAGATGTTTGCTGGCAGCGGTGGCATTGCTCGAGCCGTGTGCAAAGCTCACGATTTGGTTGGATACACGTTTGATGTTCGCCATTCCCCGCGCCAGGACATTACGCTGTTGGTTGGCGCGCTGTATGCAATGTATGTTACCGCCACAGTAGTGGCACGAGGTGCGATCCACTTTGCGCCGCAATGTTCTACGTGGCTTCACATATCGATGGGGCACACGAAGCGCCTGCGCACGGACGTGCATGGGAACGACTCGAGGACGGACGTGCTGCAGGCGAACCACGCGGCTGCGGTCGCGTCAGCTCGGGGCATTCAAAAGTGCGCGCCCACCCTCGAGCCCCCCCCCCCCCCCCCGCCTTCCTCGCCACCCCCCGAAGTGCGACGGCTGCCCTTCTCAGCTAAGACGCCCTGGGTCAATTGGCCCAGGGCGTCTTAGGACACGGGGCCGTTAACGGCCCCGTGTCCTATACTCTCCCGCGGCCCACCCCATGTCGACTTCAACCTTGAACGCCCGCCTACCTCCTGGGAGTTTTTATCATCTGTTACTCCTTTCTCCTCCCCCTCCCCCCCCCCTTCTTCCCTCCTTCCCCCTGCTCCGCCTTCGCCATCCCCCCCCCCTCCTTCTCCTTTTCCTCCTCCTCCCCCCCCCCCCCCCCCCCCTCTCCCCATCCTTTCCATTTACCTCTCCGAGCATTCCCCTCGCTGTCCCCCCACGCCCTCATTATCCCCATCCCCCCTCCTCCCTCAGGTCGTGGATGTAATCGTTTGCGCACTCGCGCAGTGTGTGCTGGATGGCAGAGCAACCAACCAGTAGCCTGTTTACTTGCACGGTGCCATTGCGCCATCGCTCTCCACATGTTCGGCTGAGCGCGCGTTTACATGCATGGGCGGTTTCGGTGCAGCCGCGATGAAGACGTCAGAACTTGGCTGCACATTCCCAACCTCGTTTTTTGCAATGTTTCAAAACATCTGCCCACGATGCTCGCTCTCGCGTTGGTCACGTGGCCCAGCCGATTTTTTTGACTCGGAAGCGTAAGAACCCATCCAAGTCTGAGTCGAAGGGTTGGCGGCGCGACAAGGGCTCGTGGGTGACTGGAACCCGCGCAATCAAGGGTTCGCAGGTGTGCCCGCGCGAGTTCTGCGCGACTTTTGCTTCTGTTGTTGCCGACGCCTTTGCAAGCGATGAGCGATCCCTAGCTGGCGGAGAAGCCGCCCCGTTTGAAGCGCAGTTTCAGTGCCAGCACTGGGCCTCCAGTACGCTGGCGCAGGCAGCCCAGCCCCACTCCCCGCCCTCCCCTACTGTCCTTATCCTTATCTTCACCGCCGCTTGCAATCCTTGAAACATGTTACCACCATGTCTGCATCGCCCGCCTCATCCACGAGTCTCCTCCTCCATCCCCCTATCTTCGCTCCCAGTCGACCCCGCTCCAAATGCGGCCTGTCCTCTCTGATCTGGATGACAGTCCACGCTCGCCTCCTAGTTAAGGGTCCTGCTGACGTGCTTTTGCATCGCGCGCAATTGCGCGGATCTCCCGACGCCGAGCGGAAGGGGCGCGCGCGCGTCTCATCCCGCAAACTACGACGACGACGACGACGACGGCGGCGACGACGACGACGACGGCGACGACTGCGACAACAGCGACGACGGCAACGACGGCGGCAACTTTAAGTTTCCAGCGGCCCGCGGGCCACCTTGCAGTTCGTTCTTCACGCGCGTGTGCAAACGCTGCGCGGCCGAGGCGCGCGCGGTATGCCCGCGGGTTTCTCGCTGAAGGATGTCCGAAATGCTTTCCTCCTCCACTCCTTGGGGCCTGTCGGGTACTTGCTCAGAGAGATGGCCGATATCGTTTGCTGCTCGCGTCGCCATCGATGTCGTGGGTCGTCGTGGCCGTCTTCGGAATCGTCGCCATCGCCGTTGCGACGCTAGTCACCGCGGTCGTCCTCGGAGTCGTCGCCATCGCGGTCGTCGCCCTTAACCGCGGCGCATCCGACGACAGATGAGCCATCGCGCGGCGGCACCTCCCGTGGAGGACGAGGTCGAGGACGAGGACAAGGGGGAGGAGGAGGCGGAGGAGGAGGAGAAGATGGAGGAGGGGGAGGAGGAGAGGGAAGAGAAGGGGGGAGGTCGGGCTTACCGGGGAGAAGGCGGAGGAGGAGGAGGAGGAGTAATGACGGAGGAAAGGGGGGGGGAGGACATCCCTGCGGTCTTTGTGGCGTGCCGAAGTGGGCGTCGGGTCCCCGCGGCCTCTCGAGGTCTCTGGGGGTCTCTCCTGCAGGGGCCCTCGCAGGGCCGTAGGGCGTTCGCCCCCTCCGCCCCCCGCGGCTGTCGCCATGTTGGTTCGTGGCATTTCGGGTCAAGGGTACGCGGGCCAGCTGCAGCGCCCGCGATCGGCGCGAGGGGTGTGCCGAAATGGGCGTCGGGTCTCCGCGGCGTCTCGAGGTCGTTCGGGGTCTCTCCTGCAGGGGCCCTCGTGGGGCCGTAGGGCTCCCGCCCCCTCCGCCCCCCGCGGCTGTCGCCAGTCTGGCCCATGGCATTTCGGCTCAAGGGTACGACGCGGGCCAGCTGCAGCGCCCGCGATCCGCGTGAGGGGTGCGCCGAGATGGGCGTCGGGTCTCCGCGGCCTCTCGAGGTCTCTGGGGGTCTCTCCTGCAGGGGCCCTCATAGGGCCGTAGGGCTTCCACCCCCTCCGCCCCACGCGGCTGTTGCCAGTTTGGCTCATGGCATTTCGGCTCGAGGGTGCGCGGGCCAGCTGCAGCGCCCGCGATCCGCGCGAGGGGTGTGCCGAAATGGGCGTCGGGTCTCCGCGGCGCCTCGAAGTCTTTCGGGGTCTCTCCTGCAGGGGCCCTCGTGGGGCCGTAGGGCTTCCGCCCCCTCCGCCCCCCGCGGCTGTCGCCATTTTGGCTCATGGGATTTCGGCTCAAGGGTACGCGGGCCAGCTGCAGCGCCCGCGATCCGCGTGAGGGGTGTGCCGAAATGGGCGTCGGGTCTCCGCGGCCTCTCGAGGTCTCTGGGGGTCTCTCCTGCAGGGGCCCTCATAGGGCCGTAGGGCTTCCGCCCCCTCCGCCCCCCGCGGCTGTCGCCATTATGGCTCATGGCATTTCGGATCAAGGGCACGCGGGCCAGCTGCAGCGCCCGCGATTCGCGCGAGGGGCGTGCCGAAATGAACGCGCGGTTTCCGCTTGGCCGTGCGGATGAAGAGCTCGAAGCAATGATCGGTTGAACTATCTGCGCCTTTGTTTGTTGTCGCCTTCGCTGGTAAATATATGCGCTGATCGCGCTGCTCTGCGCGCCCGTCGAGACTGATTAACAGTCCAGGACAACTGCTAGGCAACCACTGAGTAACTTATCAAACAAGAGCCAACCTTAAAATCGCAACTTGGATATCTGTAGTATTTTGAAGACACATAGATAGTTTCATACGATGTTTGTAGGAGGTTAGGCCAAACACATATTTCAACCGATGCGTGATCAACATGTCATTTTGCTACATAACATACGCTTGTAATTCAAGCGTCATGATTTATGTTAGACCCTACGCTTGTATTTCAAGCGTTTCCGACCTCAGGGTTCTCCACAACCGCCTTGACCTCGTCGTCCAGCGCCTCCGCGCGACCGAAGGGGGCGCCCAGGGCGAGCGTGGGGCCCTGCGGGTCGAGGACTTTGCAGGTGGCGCGCACGTAATCGGTGTCCCAGCCGTCGTGGAGGTGGCGCTGCTCTGGCGGGCACAGCAGTCGGCAGGAGCTCTTGGCCGTGCCCTCGGCGACAGAGCCGCGGGTGCCGCCGAAACGAGCCAGGCTGGCGTCCAGAGCCCTGAGCCAGGAGTCAAGGTCTGCTGGCCGGACGAAAACCTGCCCGTCGTCCACGTACCACTCCTCGCACGCCCGCAGGCCGGCGGCGGCGGGGGCGGCCGCGGCGGGGGCGCCTCCCGGCGCTGGCGCGGCAGCGGCAGGGGCAGCGGGGGCCGCCGGGGCTGGCGGGCCCGGGGCGGCGGCCGGGCGCCGGGCCGTGGGCGGCGGGGCGCCGGCCCGGGTCGGCGGCGGCGGGCGCCCCAGCGGGCGCGGGCGCAGCGGCGGCGAGGGCGGGCGCGCGCGCGGCCGCGAGTGTGAGCTTCGCCTGGGCGGTGCCAAATCCGTCGCCCTGCTCGGCCCCGCGCCAATGTCTTGATCGGTGCACCCCTCGCGAACTCCGTACCCAATTCCTTCCGAGAAGGCCCCGATCTTCCAAGGAAGATCAGGGTGCCTTCCTAGGGAATATCTGCAACGATTGGTTCCCATTTGTTTTAGACAACGACCGCGACAGGTGTGGACGACAAAAAGCGCAGTCTGGGGCGCCTTGGTCTCTCAGTTGATAAACTATTGCGCCAGCGTGCGTCTCGGCACGAAGAAGCGCCGAAAAACTAGAACATAGTGAAAACAATCCAGATGTACTGCCGTCAGAGGATCGCGAGAGACATCGCGGCGGCAAGGGGTATACTGGAAGGCCAGCTTTACCTGAGCACCGAGCTGCTTGACAGCAACGACATGTGATTCTGGCACTTCTTATCTGGGGTCTCGGCCTTCGTGTGGTCGCCGTCGCCGAGAAGGCATCCCGCACTGTACCCCGCGTGCTGGACGTGGCGCGCGAAGAAATTCAGGTACGGCGTGGCCTTGACCGTCCTGCTGTGGACCACCTTCAGCGAGACGGTGCCGAAGTCCACCCAGCCCGTGCTGGTCTTGGGCGGGGCGGCCCCGGCGACGAAAGTGGTGTTCTTGTGCCCGAAGGACCACTGCCCAGTGATGTTGATGGCCGTGAAGTACATGTCGTCGCAGGAGTGCCCGTATCGGACCACGTCTGCACTTGCGGCGAGCAGCAAGTCGCGTTTGTCGGCGTCGCGGGGGATGTGGAAGAGCTTGTACCTGCCGGCGCGCATGATATCGAAATGCTCGCCGAGCATGTTAACGAGATGCGGATCGCCCACTGCTGTGGGGTCTGTTGGTTCAGTGCTGATTGTGTCGCTGATCTCCTCGATCAACAGGGCGCTTAATTCTGTCGCGGTAACGCCAGAGAACTGGATCTCCTTCAGCTGGTGTGGATCGGAGGGGTCCGCGTATCATCCCCTCCATGGCAGTGTCGGTTTGTACGTCGAGTCCCACAGCATAGATGATGTCGTGCTGGTGTCCAAATGCCAGAGGATGAGGTTGATACCAGCAGCCCTGATATCTTGCATCAGGTTGCACTGGAGGGCGTCGGTCTGATACGGCGTCCGCTGGGAGTCCCTATCCTTCGAGATGACAATGAGAACCTTCAAGGCGCTCGGATCCCATGGCTTGTTGTTCAACATCGATCATCTGCCCATCGCGCCGGCGTTGTCCTCCGGACTGTCGCCGCCGCCTCCGGAGTAGAAGGGGGCGATCGCGGCTTGCAGCTGCACGGGGTCCGTGAACCAATGAGCAAGCGGATTAGGGTGCGTTGCCCACTCATAGCGGGGAGGGGACACATCGCCCTCGTCGCGGTAGCATAAAAAGGCCATCTGCAGCGTGGTGACTGAAGCCGACAACTGGGTCGCCAAATTGCCGACTGTCGTCTTCAGAGCCGCCAGGTACGCCCCGGTGCTGCCGGTGCAGTCCATGGCGAAGCCGAGTTGGAGCCAGGGGATGGTCTCGTTCGTGCAATTCTCGTCCGTCTCGTTCACGGCTGCCGTCGGAGGCGTGCGCATCGCCGCGGAGAGCTGCATCGCCAGGGTGTCGGAGAGCTGCATCGCCAAGGCGTCAGAGTCGGCGGCGGCCTCCAGTCCGTACAAGGCCGCCCCGTGTGCGCCTGCCAGCAAGCACGCCAGCAGCACGCACGAGCGGGCGGGCGCCATCCTGGCAGGTGCGAAGGCGAATAAGTTCAGGGTAGTGTGTGAGTGTGTGTGTGTGCTGAAATGCACGACGGTGCCAGGCCTTGAGCCAGAGTGGCTACGGAACGATTGGTTCCCACTATCATCGAAACCGTACCCCCTAACACTCACTGATTGCAAAATGTGTGTGCTCATTTTACCTTGGGTCCACTAGGACTCCCTCTCTGCGGTCTCAATTGCTCCTGCAACCAGGAGCTCTAATGTATTCTTTTACCCCGGCAAGCAAAGGGTATGTGTTCCTGGATTCTCAGTTCCGAGAGGCCCCAAGAGATCCCCAATCATATGTTTCAACAAAGCTACTCAAAGCTATCCATGCTATATCAGGCTAGCGCAAACTCAGCCCAGCACAGCAACAACAGGCTAATCAAATCAAAGCTACATTAATTATACATTAAGTTACCATGTGCCAAGCACATATGAAATAACATCACATCAACTACATAGAACAGCGCCGTCCTAACTATGCTTAACATGGCCAAACTAAGCTAAACTCGCGCACGGCAACCTAGATCAATTACCCTTAGCTGCGAACATCTAAACTTATGCTCTCGTACCTCCACAATAGAAACACACGGCATGAATCGAAGCTAAGTGCCGCTAGTGCCGGACGGGGTAAACGACGGTAGTCAAGGACTGACGCAGCTATCGAAGCCCTGCCTGGACTGACCCCTTTTGGGATTCCTGTGTTTCACTGCCGTTGGTCCACGATCCTGCTCACGACAAGTCGTCTGTGGGTTCCTTGGGAAAGCGAAACGAATCGGAGCGTTGCTGAATACGCGGTCCCCCCAGTCCCGCAACAGAGAGTGCAGCGTCCCCATCCCCTGAGCGTATTGTCTCAGCCGCGGGCTTCCCATGGCCTTCCAGGGCCTCCCGAGGTCGCGTTCACCTCCTCCTCCCTCGCCCTCCTCTCGATCGAGCATTGCACGGTGTAAGTGCTGCCGCTCGTCACCACTGATGCTATCGCAGTGCCCGAACGTATGTAGTCGTTCACTGGCTTACTCTTCACAGCTGATTGCCCGATTATGCTCTCCCTGCAAGGTGCCAATGGGAGCCCCGAGGCACATAACTCCTCTCTTCCTGTGCTGATTCCACTCCTCTTCCTTACGCCCCAGACTGATGCTTGGCACCCAGAAGCGAGGCAAATGCTGATGGTATTGCTTTCGAGAGATGCGTGGGAGCATGACGGTGCCAGCTGTTTTTGAATCAGCGGGCGGCGTGTGGCTCCCTCCGTCGCACAGCCAGGCCAAGCAGCGCACCTCATGCCAGCCCTGGGAGCAGGCCAGCGGCGGCCAAGCAAACGCCTGCCCTGCCCGCGACCAGGGCCGCCGACTTCGCCGGCGAGTCAGGGCTCGTAGGGGGCGGCTGCGATGATGTCTGGGGGACCTCGGCGAGGCTAGGGCAAGTGAACAACGGCGGAGCTGGGCCTGCCCCGAACCCACCACACCAGATCCTGGCAGCCCTGCCACGATGCGGGGCGCGTGCAGGGGGGGGGGATAGGGGGCGAGAGGGGGAGAGAGAGAAAGAGAGAGAGAGAGAGAGAGAAATAGAGCGAACGAACAAGTCCCTCTGACCCAGGATGGGATGCTCGCGCTGTCCACATTTGCCCCACCCTCGCGCGTGCCCCCCGAGATGCGCTGCGCGCGTCGCTCTCCATGAACAAATTCTTCACGAAGCGGCACTTCGCCTCGAACTGGAGGCCCGGGATGGGGTTCACGACGGGGCACACCTCCTCGAGGCACTCTCGCTCTCGCTCGCTCGTGACGTTGCCATAGAACGCGCGGCCTCTCCACGCGACCCGCCCTCCGCACACGCAGAGGCAGACGGTCCCAGCGGTGAGCTCCTGGATGTCTTCGACGTACGTGCACTCACCCGTGGCGACGAGCCCAGGGATGCTGACGGCTGGGCAGACTTCCTCCTCGCACTCGTACTCCTTCTCGCGCACCACGTTCCCGCGGAAGATCTCCCTGTGCCACACGACCGTGTGCCCGCACACGCAACGGCACGACGTTCCGCCCGCGTCCGCGGACGGCGCACGTGCTCCCCGTGCCACCATCGCCCGCGCGCCCCCCGTCCGCGCCAATGCAAGGCTGCCGCTCGCCCGCGGCGCGCGCCAGTGCGGGGCGCCGGCCGTCGCGCTGAGGCCCAGCGAGTCGCCGACAGCTCTGAGGTCAGGGAGGGCTCCGCTGGGATCAAGCCTGTGCTGCCTCGACACCTGCGCTGGGGGACCCGAGCGGCCCACCCTGGTGGCCTCTGCGGGAGCCCACTCGGCGCAGAGGAGCGACGCAACCACCGCGGCGAACGCTGGCGGCCGAGTGCCGCTGCGCGGGCCCGATGCTGGGAGTCCCATGAACTCGCCCACAAACGCGAGCTAACTTCGTTACCTCTGACAGACGCGTGGGCCGGGCAACAAAGAGGTTTCGCGCCCGCGCGTTACAGGATCACCACCCCGCCAGAGAGGCAGAACTCTGCCTACACGACGGCCACTGCATCGGTGCTAAGCAGACCCGAGAGAGCCAGACTTCTGGCTTGAGCAAAAAACAACCATGACAGATTACGTGTCTAAGAATTACATCGCTTTCGCAAATTCGACGGGACAGAAACCATCGGTGCTAGGTAAAACAAGTCAACACAGCATATTCGCTGCTGGGTGCCCCTGCGGACCGAACCAAGGATGGTCTCTGGAGGCCCGTTGCACCACAGGATCATCCGTGGCTTTCTCCACTGTCTGCGATTTTCACCTGACGGAGGATGACATGGACATGAAGGTAACGAGAGATGGAACGCCTCTCCCCTTTTCCTTTTGCCTTCTGCCCCCTCCTCGCTGCCTTCTCCCCCCTCCCCCACGTCCCCGATCCCCCTCTCCCAATAGGCCCGGTTGACAGCGCTGGGACTGCCCCACCAGAGCGAAGTCTGGCCCAGACCACGCGGGCATACCAACATGTGAGCCCAACGCAAGGCGCACGAGGATCGCGCAAACAACACCGAGGCGTGGCGCTGCAGAAGGTAGCCGAAACGAGTCATGCAGGAGAAAAGAGGGGGCGAGGAACAAAGGAGGGAGGAGGGATAAAGATGCCGAGGAGACTGTTCCCCAACCAGTGCCCTAGCGGACGTAGTGCACGCAGTTCTAGCCGAGTGCAACAACAAGGTCAAGAAACATCAACCCTACCTATACGACCACCCTTCGGGTGATAACGAGGTTGTGGGGGCAGAGAGGGGGGAACCGACATCTGACTCAATCGATCTCACTCAACAGGAACCACGGGACACCACGGGACACCTGTCGATCTCACTATCGATCTCACTCAACGGGACACCACGGGACACCACGGGCCACCACGGGCCACCACGGAACACCGCGGGACACCTCTCGATGTCACTATCGGTCTCACTATCGATCTCACTATCGATCTCACTCAACGGGATACCATAGGACAACACGGGACACCACGGGACACCACATCGATCTCACTGTCGATAACACTATCGATCTCACTCAACGGGACACCACGGGACACCAATCGATCTCAATATCGATCTCACTGTCGATATCACTTTTTGCGACACCACGGGTCACCTCGTGGGAACCACAGGGATCTCAGTATCGATCTCACTCAACGGGACACCACGGGACACCACGGGACACCAGTCGATCTCACTATCGATCTCACTTTGTGGGACACCACGGGACACCTCGGGGCAACACATCGATGTCAGTATAGATCGATCTCAATATCGATCTCACTATCTATCTCACTCAACGGGACACCACGGGACATCACGGGACACCACGGCACACCACGGGACACCGCGGGACATCGCGAGCCACCGCCAGACGGACGGACGGGCGGGCGGGGGAGAAGCATTAGTCTTGACTTCGCCCTAGCAACGGCGGACACCACGGGACACCGCGGGACACCGCTAGGGCCATCGCCGGGCGGACGGGGGAGCAACATTTGTCTTGACTTCGCCCTAGAAACGGCGGGTTCATTCCTCTCGCGCGCCCACGCAGCTTCGCCTTGCCCGCACGCACGACACGAACGAAACGAAACGATTCCCTGGTTGTGGGTCTCCGTTCCACTGCGATCTCACCTCCCAACCTCCGATCTTACACTTTTGCTAGATATTCGGGCGGCTGATGCGAGCCTGAAGGATGGACCGTGGTCATGTGGCGCATAATTCCAGCTCCTGGTGGTCGAGCTGCGATCTCGCGAGCAGTTTGGCAAGCTACTTCAAACAACAAAACAAGGAAGGAAGTAGGAGCACGGTACTGGTGGGCTGAGGAGCATCATCGACTCCTGCCCATGGGAGCCTTTGGCGGTCCCCCACGGGCTCGTCAGGCGACCTGGGGTCGGTTATGTCCTGGGGGCTCCACAACGCCGACTGCCCGGCGAGACATTGGGCTGGTGCGTGCCTGGGCTTGACCGCGCGGTGGCCGCCGGCGCGCGGCCGCAGGCCCAAACCTTGGAGCTCTGGGCCACGCGCCGCCGCCGCGCCGAGGGGGCGCGAACTGGAATCCAGATGCAGGACACCGTTGGACACTGTTGGCCATGCCCGAGGGGCCGTGCCAGACCCAACATTCGAGTGTTCCTAGAAGTGCCCATGGCCCAAGGCGCCCCCAGCTTTTTCGCTCCATCCTGGAGCCCCTATGGGGTGCCTTGGGCTCGTGCGGCGTGCCCTGGAGGCTGTCTGGGCCACCCCGAGGATCCTAGGGGCACATTGGGCCAGGGGCACTGCTAACAACACCCAACCATCGGGGAGACGTAAGACGCGGGCTCGGGGGACTCGGGTTCGCCTGTGACGCAAACTCCCGCTGCAAGCATCCCACGAACACTGGACCGTCAAAACTCAGGACGGCAGGACGGGCTCGTCGGAAAGCACCGGAAGACCCGAACACGGGCGAGCTCGAGTCTACGCTCCCCTAGAACAGCGCGCGCGCACCCTAGGCGAGCCTCCGCGCGGACCGCCGCCCGCCCGCCGCACGGGGCAGGGCGGGGAGCACGAGGCCCCCTCGCCGAGCTCGAAGCCCTCGCCGAAGGGGTACGGCAGCGGGCACTTCTCGAGTAGGGGACCGACTACAGAATTTATGCACCCCAGAACTGTGGTTCTGTTCGCAGAACAGCGACACTCTCGTATAATGTTTATAGGTAGACGAACATTCTAATTTTTCGTAGACCAAACGGACACATCAAGTTTTGGGCAAATCAGTTTTGCAATCCATCCCATTCTCGAACTTGGCATTACGTTCGGCAACACTTCCACCGAGCCGCCCATCAACACAGAAGCCTACAGGAGCCTTGTCGGCATGCGCATCCTAATGGCCACCGCCGCGAGCTTCATCTTCACGCTCCTCTTCATGGCCGCGTCAACGGGCCCACCCTCGAAGATGACCTCGGACCTCGGACCAAATCGTCACGCAGCTGCACGCCACGCTGACGTCCCAGCCGTCCTCGAAGGTGGCGTCGGTGACAGCCTCCGGGCGGCTCCATACTGCCTGGCTTGGAGGGGGAGGAGGAGGAGGAGGAGGAGGAGGAGGAGGAGGAGGAGGAGGAGGAGGAGGAGGAGGAGGAGGAGGGGGAGCAAGGAAAACGAGGAGGAGAAGGAGGAGGAGGAGGAGGCCTTCTGAAGGTTTGTTGAACAATTTCTGGGGACATCGATGTAGCTGTTCTTCGGGAGGCTTCCGGGGATAACGAAATCGATGTTCCCGGAAACCTCTCTGGGAATGTCATCTAGGATGTGGACGCGAGGGCTCCGAGGCTTGGTTGGGTCTCTAGCGAACTCTCCTGGGGGCATGGTTGGGGCCTCTGGGGCCTCTCAAGGGCCTCTTGGGGGCCCGCTGGCGGTCTCGGCCTCTTTGAGATCTCACTTGATGCTCTCTTGACTCTGGGGGGCGTCTTGGGCCTTCGTGGGGCCCAGGCTGTCTTGGGGCATTTTTGGGAGGGCCCGCCGCTGGATGGTCCCAAGGGGGACGGGGGGGTTGGGACCCCCCCCCTCCCCTTTCCCCGATCCCGTCTCGGACCCCCCGCCTCCCCCCCATATCCCGATCCGTTGTCGGGACCCCCCCTCCCCCCTTTCCCGGTCCGTCGTCGGGGAACCCCCCCCCCCCTCCCCCCCTTTCAAAAGTGGGGGGTCCGACCCCCCCCCCCCCTCCCCTCCTTAGGCCGCCAAATTCGACCCCGCCCACCCCCCCCCCCCTTCGCCACGGCGCCCCCGGGCTCTGGAACCCGACCCCTACCACCCCTCACACTAATCCTCACTCTTACCCGAACACCTCACCCGAACCCCAAACACTAACCCTAGCCCCAAACAGCACTCACTACTCATTACGCACTACTCACCACCCACTATTCACTACTCGCAAATCACTACTCACTTCCCACTACGCACTACTCACAACACACTACCCACAACCCACAACTCACTACTCACTACGCACTACGCACTACTCACTACCCACTACTCACTACTACTTTCTAGTCACTACGAACTCACTACTCACGACTCACTACCACGAGTCACTACTTACTATGCACTCCCCAGTACTCACTACTCACTACTCATTACTCACCACCCACTACTCATTCATTACTCCCTACTCCCTACACCCTACTCAGCACTCACTACTCATTACTCACTACTCTCTACTCGCTACTCATTCGTTATTAATCAGTACTCATCATTAACTATTCACTAATTTGCAATTCAATACTCACCCCTCACTATTCACGACCCACTACTCCCCACTCCCTATTCCCGATGCCCTACTCGCTACTCACTACCCACTACTCATTATTCACTACGCACTACTCACTACTCACTACTTACTATACACTACTCCTTACTCCGTACTCTTCACCATCTTCTCTGGTGCTGAACGGAGAAGCGGGAGAAGCCCCCTCCCCCCCTCCCGGGCCCCCTGTTCGGCGCAAAGGGGGGGATGGGGGAGGGTTGAACCCCTCCCCCCTTTCCAGCGCCAAGGGGGGGAGAGGGGGGGGGGGGTCGGACCCGAAGTGGTACGAATTACAACCGACTAAAACCAATCCCAACCGTTCGGGGTGAATTGCAACCAGAAAAGAGACCAATTCCAACCACAAATGAGACCAATTCCAACTCAGGCAAAAATGAAACCAATTCCAACCACGGATGGGATCTTCAGAATTCCTCAGGATTCTTCAGGACTCCTTCGGAATTCCTTGGGATTCCTGCGGAATTCCTTGGGGTTCCTGCGGAATTCCTTAGGGTGTTTTCGGAATTCCTCCGGCTTCCTTTGGAATTCCTTCGGAATCCTTCGGAATCCTTCGGGATGCCTTGTGGATTCCTCCTTCGGGATTCCTTGTGGATTCCTCCTTCGGAATTCCTTTGGATTCCTCCTTCGGAATTCCTTTGGATTCCTCCTTCGGAATTCCTTTGGATTCCTCCTTCGGAATTCCTTTGGATTCCTCCTTCGGAATTCCTTTGGATTCCTCCTTCGGAATTCCTTTGGATTCCTCCTTCGGAATTCCTTTGGATTCATCCTTCGGAATTCCTTTGGATTCCTCCTTCGGAATTCCTTTGGGTTCCTCCTTCGGAATTCCTTCGGACTCCTCCTTCGGAATTCCTTTGGACTCCTCCTTCGGAATTCCTTTGGACTCCTCCTTCGGAATTCCTTTGGACTCCTCCTTCGGAATTCCTTTGGACTCCTCCTTCGGAATTCCTTTGGATTCCTCCTTCGGAATTCCTTTGGACTCCTCCTTCGGAATTCCTTTGGACTCCTCCTTCGGAATTCCTTTGGACTCCT